ACACACACACACACACGTGAACGAACGTGCGTGCGCGCACACACACGGAGTACAGAGTGCATGGCTACGGTCGTCCCCCGAACATAAAGTACCCTGGTAATGAATGTATAGAAGCCATCTGTACGGTCGGGTACAGAAAAAATGAGGGTTCCCAACATAACTGTGTACGGGTGCGAATTTGTCCCAGGCGGACACAAGAGAGAGAGAGAGAGAGTAGCAGGGCAACCCTCACTTTGCCCGTACCGGACCCGAAACGAAGGTTTTATACATTCATTATTCAGGGCCGTTTATGTGGGGGGATGCACGTTTTATACATTCATTATTCAGGTGCGTTATGTGGGGGCGTGAGGGAGTCATGACGGTAGACCTGATAATGAATGTATACAACGAATCTTTCCGGTCTGGTACAGGCAAAATGAGGGTCATGAACATAGCAACCCTGTGTTATGTTGAAGGAGAACGGTAGCTATGGACTACTCTGGTGTTTTTTGACTTTCAGTGGTCGGTGTGGCCTCCTTTGCTTTCCCGAATGTTGTTGATTTGTAGAATGTGGGTTCGAATAGATGTAGTTTCCTTACCACGGCGTGGTGTTCAGCTGAATTTGAGAAACATATCTGATATGACCCATGGAGTAGGATTTGGAACTGTGGTATTTGGTCCTCCGGTCCCTCTTCTCGTGCTCTGGTCTTGCTTGGTTGGTGCAAGATAATTGATGAGGTGTTGTCTGCTACAGTACCTCCGCGACCAAGATCCCTGATGAGCGTTGTTGGCGGACAGCCGAAACGTTGGGTCCTCGCCGTCTGTTTTTCATCGCAATATCCTTTAAGTCGGGTTCGGGAGATATCAGTGTATCTTGCCATACTTCCTTCTCTTTCCTCCCCTATGTCCCTTACCTCTTCTCCTTCTTCCTCTTCTTCTTCTAATACTTCTTCTTGCTCTTCTTCTTCTTCTTCTTGTTCTTCCTTCCTTTCTCTCTTTTTCTTCATGCATCTTCTCCTACCTCCGCATCTTTTATCCCCTAACCTTTGGCGTGGATTTGTTGACTAACTGCCTTGTGCTTGTAGCAGCAGGACTTTTTCGCTATTCATTCTGGATGATGAATGTTTGACCTCATATTTTATTCCGCGGAGTAACCGTCGTAGGAATCACATTACGTTCTGAGTGGCTTCGCTGTGCGGATCGCTTGCTTGTGGTGGTCGTCATCTCTTTCTGGTAGAATGGCTTCTAATGCGCCTGTCTCTAACTCTGTACGTACCTGCTATAATTGCGGTGATCCCAATCATTTCGCTCGCTTTTGTTCTCATCCTTCTCGTAGGCAGAATGTACCTAATACCAATAATGTTGCTAGTGCGCCCACCCTTGCTCTTCCAACGCCTCCTCAGTCTTCTGTTCCCTCCTCTGTGGTGGTGGCTCCCTCTACTTCTGTGGCCGCTCCCAATAACAACTGTGGGTATGTTAAGGGAAGTGGTTGGTTTAATACCAACCAACTCGTTCCTACTCTGGAAGATACCGTAACACTGATTAAATTACGTTATGATGCGGAAGTTGCACGTGAGAATGAGAAGAAAGCTGAAGAAGAAAAGTTGAAACGTGAGAAGGCAGAAGAAGAAGTTAGGTTGAAAGCGAAGAAAGAGAGAGAAGAGTTCCATGCCCTTCTTAGTACTGAGATGAATACTAAGTTGGATCAGATGTACGAGGCTGTGCGTGGAAAAAGTGTGCCTTAGCAGGAGAAGGAGATTGTGGAACTCGAACAGCAGATGGAAAGACTTCAACGCTCCCAGTCTCAGAGGAACACTGTTGGTACGTCTACACCTGGGCCGGTCAATTGGAACGGTGCCAGCACTTCGGGTAATCAAGTTGCGCAAGACAAAGTTGTTGCCCGACTAATTCAAGCGCTGGAGGAGTTGAAGGCTAAACTTGAGAAACGAGTGGAAACAATGGAAGGAGAAATTCGATCTTTGAGACTCATGAAGGATGAAGCTGCTGCTGAAGTCGAGATTTGGAAGAAGAAAGCCCTCCGAACGGGTAACAAGCGGAGCCGAATCGCTCTTTCCCCCGGGGCACAGTTGAAAGTTGACTCCCAATCAACCCCTGTGAAATCGCCTGGCAAAGCACGACTGCTGAGTGATCACGCCGCTCACGCGTGGATCGTGGAGCTGCACAATTTGGAAGTTAATGCCCTGAAGGAGTTACGACTGCAAGAACTTAATCGTCGAAGAGCGGCTGAACAATGCCTCGCCGAGATGGAAGAACGAATGGAGTCTAATGGAGAAGCTGAAGATGGCAACGCCACGTTCCAATCTCAGGGAATGCCAGTCGAACATTGACTTTGAAATCTAAGAAGAAGGTGGCAGCTGAACTAGTGGTGAAGAATGCCAATAATAGGGAAACCTTTATCAAAGAGAACGGTTGAGACTTGAAGCAGCTGAAGATGGAGGCCGTACGAAAGATTTGTAGTGATGAAGGAGTGGAATGCACCACACTGGCTCAGACAGTCAAATCAATCATTGTGAAGCGTGCTGATTTGGCGTTTGGTCGAGGCAAAGGTGTGGATGACCTGGTGCATGAGGTTTCTGATGATGACGATGGTAGCGCCGATGCTGCGAATGAAGGGAGAGATTCTGATGCTTCTTAGGATCTCTCCCGAACGTAGCTAATCTATGGTCGCTTGCTCGCGCCTGTTCCACAGTCCGCTGTCTTTCTTCGAAGCACCTGAGAACTTGTTCCTTGGAATCCTGGTTTCGTCTAGTCGTGGTTGCTCTTGTATTCTGTGGTGCTATCCCCTGGGCCACTAAACTTCTTCCCTGTCTGATTTCGTTACTTTCTGATGGTCAGTTTAATGACTCTGGACCCTTGGTGTATGTGCTACTTTCTCCCTGGTGTCGACACCTCTACGTTGGCAGTTCTAATCGCAATCTCGATGTACGGTGGAGCGAACATGTCTATAGGAGTTGCAGTGAGACTGTAGCCTTGAATGGTAGACGTAATGAACGGTTGTACCGGTGGACGCGAAGATTTGGCATGAGTAAATACGTAGCTATTTCAATCTTTAAATGCTCGGGAGATGACTTACTTGCAGTAGAGAAATTCTTTATTCGGTTTTTCTCGTCAGACCTGAATTCACGCGATAGAATTAAGAAATCTAGAAGAAACCGTCTGGGTAAGCCTGAGCGTCGGAAGCAGTACTCGCGGTCTCGACGAACTTGTTTGTCCAACCCTTCTCTTGCTTCTTCTTCTTCTTCTTCTTCTTCTTCTTCTTCTTCTTCCTTTCTCTCTTCCACCTCCTTCCCTTCTTTCTTTTTTTTTCTTTTTCTTCTTCTGCTCTTTCTGCTTCTTCTTCTTCTTCCCCTTCTCTATCTATTTCTCTTCGTCGCTCGTTGATTATCTTCCACTCGTCTGTTGGACTCATTTCCCTCAGTTTATTACATATCCTCCATCATTGTAGGGACAGGCAGATATACTCAGTGACGGTTGTTTGTCGAGGTGGTTCCTGTCTCATCAACAATTGGAAAGTTCTGAAGCGTAATTATGGCTCCTCGGTGGTATCTTGTACCTTTGGCAGTGGTCAACTTCGTCATTCTCAAGGGTGGTTGTGTGGTGGGTTGGTAATCCATTTTCGTTCTGTGGTTCCTCATTGTTTTCGGTCTTTGATTCACAAACCACGATTGATTCTTCTTCTTCGTAATCCTTCCACTCGGTCGAAACTTTGGCAGTGGGATTTCGCTCGTTTGATCCAAGCCTTCTCTGTTGTTCGTTGCTTTTTGGAGAAGCGGTCTCGGAGTACATTGCAGACGGTTCTTTCACGAATCATTCATGTCAAATTTGACATTCCTGCTCGGCGTCGTTTAATCATTCGTGTGGTGTATGATGTTCGTTTTTGTACGAGGGAAATTCGTCGTGTGTGTGCCCGTATGGTTGGTCTTCTTGATATCGACCCCACATGGAGGTCAATGATTGTTTGCAGAATGCGAGTTGTTTGGTGCCGTAATCAGATTGTGGGAGACATCATCCATAACTTTCGACAGTTCGCTCGTAGTGGTGACTTCACTTGTGGTTGCATAAAATGTGACGATTCATTTCCCCGTGTGGACAATCATGTTTCTTTTCAGTTCAGTTCATCAGATTTGTTTCCCTCGTTCATGAAGAATTCAAAGAACATTCTACAGCCTTCTGTGGGTAATCTAGGGCGGAGCCTCTTTCGGCAGATTTGTAAGTTTTTTTTGTCGTGCGAGCTCTTCTCTCCTGCTATCCTCGACAACTTGCCTCCTTTTGATCTTTCCCCATGTACGTCATCTCTTTCGACCTCGACTCAGTTTTCCATTGACCTTGCGCACTCTCAGCTTTCCCATCTGACCGGTCTTGTTTGTACCCCCATTGACCATAATCCCGGTGATACCTACGCTTGCTGTCCTGTCGTTTATGGCCGGGGTATGAAGCAGCTGTTCCTGGAGAATGTGTCTTTTGAGAGGATGGCGGTGTTGGAAA